CTCATTATTTTGCCCTTACCCCTCCTCTTTTTCTCTTCCAGCATGTGTATTTATAATCATATGTACATATACATTGGTATGTGCATTTTATTCTATATATGTTCGTGCATGTGTGCATGTGCGCATCGTTAAATTTACATTCGTTATCTTGACCTCATTGAACCTGAAGATCGTAAACTGTATACAATATTGCTTCCCTGATAGCCGCATACCATTCGTCCATCGTCCATGAAAGTACATTGGAATAAGGTTATATTTGGCGAAAATCTCGTCATTTATCAACTTTTTGTAATATTTAGATTAAAATTTCGATTGTTTTATTCTCAAAGTAGATTTACATTTTATGTATATAAGCTGCTCTTCCGTATCCATACCAAATTTTATATTAACGATTCTATAGTATGTATGCCATTCTCTCATATATTTCATATGAAAAGTCATTATTATATTTAATGTAAAATACTTTTGAATTTCAAACATAGAATAAAATGACCATTACTACTAAGAGAAGCTTTTGATTGCTAACGATATATACGACCATGCGCGTCTGAATACTATTAGTGCAAGAAAAATAACGTTGTCGATTAATATTCTGTTAATAGATTAATCATAATTAAATAATTTATTATGAAATTACTAACTAAATAATTTATCGTTTAAATGTTAATTATTTCTTTTTAAAAAAGTGTCAGTGGACTTAAGTTTTATGTTCTTTAAAAGAACTGTTAATTTGAAACGACTATACATAATTGCATGTATATTTTTATGATATTGTAGACATCCTAGAATTAAATTGAATTTCATGTAATAATTAATTTTGTTTATTTAACTTCTCAATATTTTCACGAATTGTTTAATTTCCAAAAGAGAGATTAAGGTACGTTAAGTTCTTTCGCATGCATGCGACTGTTGAAAATGATTTCCACTTTCATATACGTATCAATAAAATAATATTATTTTCATTATCATGTGATTTAATTATTAGAACAGAACAGCAGCGTGAAGGATAAAATAGATGTTTTTAAACGATTAATATACAAAAATATTGAGATTATTTCATTTTCATCATGTTTACAAACATAGCATAGGGGAATTATGATAATAAGTTATTAGTAATACTAAGAACTCATAATTTTTCTTATTTTGAACAATTATATTTTACTTTATAAAATTAACAACTATTGTTAAATTACTCGATGATTATTACCTTTTAATCTAAATGTCATAAATTATTAAAGTTTTTGAATAAATGTTCATTAATATTATATTATCCTTGTGTGCAAATAGACAATATTTTAAATAGTGACACTGTTTAAAAAGGACCGCAAAAATAGTCGGTACTTTACGTCGTGTTTACGAGGCACGTGTGCGAATTACCTTATTAGCCGATATTTTAATGCTCAGTGTTAGCTAGTTTATTCATTATTTTTATGCCATCTTCAATTTATTTTAGTCTAAACTCTCTTTTACTTTTATACTTCATTCATGGGAAAAATAGTACTAAGTCGTCATTAAAATTAAACAATTCACTAGTTTTATAAAATGAATTTTTAATACGATACGTGCATTTTTGTAATTTTTAACATCAGCACACCATTATTAATTATTAATTAATAAGATTCATTAATGCTATTAATTATTAATTAACAATAATATGCAAATTACCTATTTAGCAACTCTTAAATATTATATTCAATAATTCTTCTTTATGTTTATTTAGGTCGTAATTATTATTTATATTAATTCAGGAATTCATTGAGATCGTTTATATTTATTTTAAATTGTAGAAGGCAATTTAGAAGGGTAATTTGAACCAATAATTACTTAATTGTAAATTTAAGTTAGAATCATATATAGTCTTTAAGAATTGATAAATTGATTCCTAAAATTTTCTTCTTAATTATATATATAAGTCAACGTGACTCCTTCTAAATTATTATGAAATGAAGAAATGTTTTATAAACGATTTTTTGAAAATGTATTAAAATACTTTGAACAAGTTATTTATAATCACTGTAAGATAAATATTTAATATAATGATATTTAAGATCAAAATATTTTAGATTTTATATTTACTGCAATATGTAGTTGAAGAAATAATTATCTTAATAATTAATACGAACATTATTATTCTTCGTTTTTTTGGAAGTACACGATTGAATTCAATGAATATTGGGATTTCGAAGTTAATAATTAACATATAAAAAGCAAAATTTACATTTTATTTTAATATTTTTTATTTATTAATGATAGCCAATGAATTAGAATTAGAATGAATTATAATTTGCATAGATTTTGGTGTAAGAAAATTTTAAAGTATAAATTTTTAATTAAAAAATATTCCGAGGAATGTGAAGATAAATGCGATTCAGAAGTGTGCATCTTCAAATAATCCCGACCAAATGTCAACATTTATATATTTAATCATTTATATTTATTCACATAGACAGTAGCGAGGCTATAATTTATTCAACAACTTACCGCAGAATTATATTGCGTGATTAATGTGCATCGAGTTCCATTTTCATTACATAATAAGCTTTTCCATGCCCATGAACAGGACATTAAAACGCCGTCTTCTACCCTCTATGCATTTTCTATTCCGCGAATTTATGTTTTCTTTGTGTACATGTATACATCCGCTACAAATATGCACTCAATTCATAATTTTAACAAACGCCTAACAAATGATCTGATGCTATGAAAGGGCCTGATATATTAGAAGCAAATACTAGATGTATACATATCTAAAATATTTATTTTGTTTTTAGTTTTTTCATTTATGGTGTCTCGACGACGAATGTTTACAATGAATTGCCAGGGAGTCGGTAGGCGCGTCCGTAAGTGGAAATTGAAATAATGAGGAGGAGAGCTAGAATGTACTGAAAAAAGAAGGAGACTCTTAGTCCTTATCTGTTCTTTTGTTTTTATATGTGGAAAATTTTCATACGTTCCCAGCTTCGGGCCGTTCATAAAATCTCGAAGTATCAACCTTGTTTTTATTTTTCAGTTATCATTCGTATATTTTATAGTTATTCTTATTGTAATTATTTTTATTACTGTAATTTTTATTTACCCTCACTTTGTGATGTTATTTGGAGAAAAACTTAGTACGCTCCTTCCAATTTTAATCTGTTTGATTTTATTTTATTCGGTTCTTAAAATATTAAGAAATAATGACGAATGAAATGAATTTCTCCTTTAATATCATTCTAAACATTGTTGTATGGGAGAAGAAGAAATAGAGCTCTAGATATACTCCATGGTATTTTACTAATTATAACTCGACTAATATATTAAGCAAAAATAATATACGAAAAGGGTCGATGATAAAAAATATATCTAATATCTTTTTGTTGATCGCCTGAGACATATTGAATTTGAGACGCAAAATACCACTGAGCATTCAGACTAACAATCACGTGTGTTTAAATACAGTTTTCGATCCATCATGCTGATCATCATTAGCTAATAAAGTGCTTTGTTGGTACATTTATTTTTATTACGCAACGCTCAAATGTGCATAAATGTGGATCACGTTTACAGTCGAATCTTAGTCATTGGAAATTGTGTGAAGCGTCTTATTATTAATTGGATTTGAATATTAATTGTTAGAAAGTAATCTTAAATAAAATGCTTTCGATAATCATGCTAAATTAAAGTAACGACGTTCTAGATCATATAGGAAAATATAATATCAGTATTATGCGCTGACTTAATAATTTATTACAATTTTTGCTATTCAATATTTTATATAAAATTTCATTATTTTTTTTACAAATTATTCAATAATTTTATAATAATATTCTTGTATACATAATAGATTTTGAAAGTTCACGTTAGGAACTTAGTATTATGAAATTTTATATACAGTTGCCACTATATTTTGGTATTATAAAAATATTTATAAAATAAGTGTGAGTGAATTTTAGAAGGACAGGTACAGTAGGAAAGTATATAACTGTTCTGATATTTTCAATTTGTATGAAATTAATGTTAAATTAGTAAGCAAAATTAATTTTTTAAAATGAACATTTCTCATTTTATTGGTTTTATGTCGACATGAATAGTGACATTATGAATGAGATTAGACTGTATCGTTAACTTTCATTAGCTACCATCAATCCACACATATACTTGTTTTACATTTAAGTTTCAATGCCTGCGTCCGAAAATATTGAAAAAGTCTAATAAAAACAAAAAAATCTAACGGAGATTCTGATGAGTTTAGACTCATCTTTGGTTAATCAAAATAATTATAATACTGATAATATCATATTGGCAACCTAATCTAATGTAATACTTTTAAATAAATTTGTACCTTACAGTGTAATAGGCAAATATCGAGGATCGTACATTTTTATTTCTAATAATGTTACATATACATAATTCGCTCTCTCTCTTTCTCTATCTTTCTCCCAATATATATATATATATATATATATATATCGATCACGGATATTTGTATAATAATTACCCGCGCGAGCGATCACGAGTACTCGATTCGCGGGAAAGTTACATATATCTCTCTCTCTCTCTCTCTATCTCTCTCTCAATATATATATATATATATATATATATATATATATATATATACAGACTCCGATACACTCTTTTAAATACATAACGCTATTTAGGCTGCCAACACTAAACCTATATCTAATTTAGGCTGTCGCCATTGCCGTTGCGGACGGCGCATGTGCGTCACCTATTTAACCTACAAAAATGTTACTATGGGATCAAACGCAATTATACTCACGCACTGGACCATCTATTCATCGTAACTTATATACAAATAATTCCGCCACCTACCCGAACAACCGTACACGTATGCATAATATGTTATACATGTATATTTATAATAAAGCTAAACATATATACAGTCGTACGTGTACGTATGCGCTTGATACTTTGGGTACTTATACATAGTGTATGTGCAGCGGTGCTCGTGATTGTTCACGATTAAGTCCATTGTCCCACCTTCTAGGGGGGCGCGACGGGCCGATAGCAAGGTCACGAGCAACTCGCGCCCCCGATGAGGAGACTGAAGGTGGCCGCGAGTCCTGCCAAAGCCATCCCATACCACGACCCGGAAGACAGCAGCTGCACGGAGACGCCGCTCGTGCGCGGCAGCTTTATCTCAACTTCGGCCATTTTGAAAATTGAGAGGAGCGGGTGAGTTTGCACCTCTTGATATCGATTGTTAATCTTGTCACTGAGATCTTGGAGCATTGACTCACACTCCTCCTGTAGGGCAAACAAAGAATTTAGATATGAAAGTAGAGAAAGCTCTTTAATTCAATTACTGGAGTACACAATTTCGTGTAAAATAGTTTCCAGTGTTTTTGAGATATGATTCTATCTTAATTCAGAACTATCATGATTAGTCAGGAAATTTTATAAAAAAGATAAATAGAAATATGTATTTTTAATTCCATGTCTCAAATTTTATGTGTATCATCAAAAGAAAAATATCAGTTTACTGTTAAAGCTTAATTTTTAAAAATTGTTAAAGAAATTTAGATTTATAATTGCGTTCATATGCATATTATTAGATACATATTATTATATACAATATATATCTTTAGAATTAGACTATGGCCACCAGTTGCCTGTTGGGAGAAAAGTGTAGGCAAATGGGAGGGATAGTGCTTGAATTCAGTATTTAACACATTTGCTTTTCGTGCTTGGTATTTCATTTATTTTACACTACAATATAATGATTCAACATTGACGAAGAGAATAGATGAGATCTTGCCTCATGATGCAGTACACTTGGTGATTAAGTACTATATTGAAACTGAGAAGTCGTAAGTCTCTTGACACTTCTTCGTGTAGTGCCACGTGGTGGTAACTTCATTGCTGGTGTCCTCCAAGCTGTCTTGTAGTGTGGAAGGATTCCGTAACGGCTCTGCTGAAAGTGTATGCAATAGCTCGAATGACTCGTGTTGGCTGAATAATTCTTGGCTGACTAGCGTTAGACTCTTGGTTGGGGACTGTTAGCACTGCCAGTTTATATATTGGTCTTACCATTGTAGTCGAAGCTATTTTTAATGTGACTACTCTGGGAGTCTTTGCCAGCATATGTTTTGATTATTCGGGCGAGGGGCCATTTGCACGGTGGGAATCTCTCATCAGTGATGAGTACCAACAAACCGATCATAATATTATTTTGTGGATGAAGCCACTTGAAAATTCATTGCTGCCGTTGGTAATAGTGACGAAACCTGTTATACACGTTGTTGAATAAATTGTTAGCGAGCCAAACCTGAAATTAACAATCCCTTGAGAGATGGTTCTAGAATAGTTCTGAGTGAGCTTCCTATGAGAAAATCTCCAAGGGTGAATGCCGAAACATCTTCGGAGTCGTCATTCATCCGCTCTAGAAGCCTAGATTTCATGATTGCCTCAATCTGAGATAGCAGAGTAGTGATTTCTTCACAGGTAAGCAAGGTTTCTCCGATTGTACATCGCAGATGAAATTTCATGGACTTCACCACCGCTTCTTATTTTCCTCCTATGTCAGGCGCAGCAGGTAGACTGAATTCCCATCGAGAGCTGTTTTGCGACAGGGTTCTTGCTATTCGATGATGTTCTTGAGAAACTTGTGAGAACAATTTTTTGAGAAATTTATCCGCCCCAAGGAAGCTTGTACTATTGTGCGTGCCTAAACTTTTTGTGATGTCTATAGCGAACAAATGTCGATATCAGCATATTTGAGATTAAAGCAGTATCCACGAATTTAAAACAAAGAACGGCACGCACGCTCGGACTATTGTTTATAAACACGACTCGACCAGTACGAGTATGTTTCTACAATGTGAAATCCAATTTACTACAATATCACACAAAGGAACGCCTATGAAACTTCTAGAAGCTTCGTTTTCGGACGCCACAAAGAAGTTTTCGGCATAGAGATAAGCAGTGGCATTGTTGCCGGCGTTGCATGCTGCTGCACGTATATTTAAGGGCAGCTCGACATGCGGCGAAGCTCATTGTAATTCTACTTCTCGTTCACTCATCTGTCATTACTACACAGTGTGTTACACTGTGTAGTACAGTGTTACAGCTAGTATACACTATGACTACAACACGTGGCCGCATGTTCGGCAGCCAACCTAAAAAATACATGTGCATTACTATAAAGAGTCATCAAGAATAGATTAGTAATTTTACAGTGAAGCCATTGGAATCGCAATCAAAAGGGACATGCCAGCCACGCAGCCATTCAACATGCCCTGTTGGTAGTTCATAAGGTACATCCTTTTATATTATTTGAACAAGCTAGCCACCCACATACGAATCAAGTTTTCATATAACTTTTGTTCAAAAGAGTCGATATAGGTGACAGAGTACGCTCTCGCAGGCTAACAAGCCGGAGACGTACTTTTATTAAATACGTTCAATTATATTGTCAAGGCCAGAAAACAGCTTATCACGAATCGACTATAAATACATTTTCATCAAGAGAGCTTATCATTTATTTTTCTTGGGTATGACTAGCTTTCAAATACTCCCATCTTCACTTCACTAAATTCATCGACTAAACATGCTTATCCTTACAACATTAGCATAAAACCAACAGTCATGATCCACATTAATCTCCATAGCAATAATGACATCACCATCATCCTCAAGAAACAACCTCACCACAGCAATAGAATATTTTCCCTTCTCTTACTTGAATCAATCAAAACTGCAATATTATAATAATTAAAAACCAGAATAAACGATATCTTAACTCAATAATATATATTGTACATAATTTCAGCCATTCCACTTGCTTTCCCCCACCAGCCATCATGACGAGAGACCAATGCACTGAACTATTAAATTGGCAGTTCGAGCCATAAAACAAACTCTCAATAATCGAATACGGCATGTCCAAATTAATACGTCTGAAATTTCTGGGTTCAGATTGGCTCCAGTATGCAAAATGTCGTTGATTGAAAGACCTGATATTGATGCGCTGGAGCCGTTGAATACCAGTTCTTATCTTGTGGTAGTGCTCTCTGGTAAAGTATACCGTGATGTGTCAGATAGTATTGAGTTTGATGATGGAACACTGGAAAAGCTCATTTCCTGTGCTTAAGTCCCTCATATTCTCCCATGAATTGTTGATAGTGTTCACGATAATTTTCGTCTCTTGAGAATCGTCACGTTAAACTTTGCAGACATCGACGGGGCAGTATTGTGAGAATCGTCGAGGATCTCAACAGATTCCTAGAGTGGGATCCGGGCGATGTATCTCCTTGTTAAGTCGCGTGAGTGAGTTTTCTTATAACGATCCTCACACCATTGCTCATCAGGGGTGTATTGTTAATCGGAGCTCCTTGAAATTTCTTCTTGCACCCAATATTTTTTCAGTAGTTCTTGTATTGTATCTTCTACTTCTTATGTTGAAGTGTGGAATGCTATTGCGCTCATATTATTTGTCACACTGACAGGGTCAAGTACTAGCCATCCAAAAATGGAAAATTGTGTTATTGACATGGATGAAGAATACTTGATGATATTGGCCTTAATGATCTGTCCATATACATCTGCTCCAAGAACAATATCCATCGGTCTTTGTCTAATATATTCTGGATCGGCTAGTGTTAGGTTTTTCAGATGCGGCCATACCTGACGGGTTTTTTGGAAGAATGGAAGCATTGTGGTCAATGACTTGAAGATGTGATCTAGAACTGTGACTGAAGAATTTGTAAAATTTGATTGGAGGGTGAGTGATACAGACCTTGTACCTGAGTTGATCGGTTTGGTCTAATTGGCGTAACTTTTTTATAGCCGATCATAGCGCCAGAAACAATGGGTTCCACTGTAGTGCAAGAAACAATGGAGGTGATTGTGCCCTCATTTCGGTTGTACGGGCTTTTCCGAATCTCCAACGACCGTTGAAGAATTTTCTTATAAACAATGATAGTTGAATAATTTCCTTGAAATTATAACCGTTGAGGTTTTTCTCGAAATGATAACCTTTGGGATTTTCCCGCAATTGATAACATTCGAGAGATTCTGTAAATCTCGAACAATATATATAATATGCCTACATATATTATATATATTGTACGTATATATATATATATATACGTACAAAAATAAAAAGCTATTAACTGAAATAATTTTTGACGTTGGTTTTCATTATCCTGTACCTAATAGGATTTACACGCTTACTGCTACTTCCGTATTAATTGCCGTAGGCGAATATAGAGAGCTACAAGGAAATTGCAGACGACACTCCGGCGTTCTAGGGAACCTTGACCTTGCAATTCCAATTCGCTCACGTAGTAGTTTAGGACAAACATTTATTATCAAAGGATTGAAAAATTCAAACTACATGCGACTTTCAACCGGAAATTGAAGAATTGATGAGACAGGCTGGTAAGCTCGTTGGCGATGCTAGCAGGGAGGAGAAATAAAGGGGACCAATGGTAATCAATATAAAGGAAATACCATGCAATCAAAATTCAGATCTTCCGTTTTAAATTTGTGTTTTCTTTTTGCTTAAAAGCTTAATCAATAAAATAGGAAATAATGACGCTCGATGTATAATTTGTAAGTATAAATAAAAATTATTCTTCAAGAACTTACATTACAAACATATAAATATATATATTTACATAAGCTTTCCATTCTTTTTAACAATTATATTAAAAAAATTGAATTTTCTTTTCATTACAAATATTATCAACCCTGAAATAGAAAAACAATATATTCTTTATAATGATAAGAGTATATAATGTTTGAAAATTACAATACGTGAGTATTATATATTTTACAAGCTCTTAAAATTTCATTTCACAAATTTTAATGAGATTTGAAAGAAAATTGACAAGTAATCATAAAATTATTTGCAAATTTTATCGAATATAAGATTATCGATATACGTAAGTTATAAATTGAAAATTTACTTTATAAAGTTATATCTTAGTTAAGTTTGATTTGTATTGTAAATTAATCGTTCATTAATTAATTACAATGTGATATAATGTATAAAAAATAAATAAATTAGAATGATACTTATTCATTGCACATAAATAAATTTGGCTATTTTCGAAAATTGTTACTAAGTATTCGTTATTATTACCATTATTATTGTTGTCATTAATATTAATATTACTGTTATTATTATTGTTGTTGTTATTAATATTAATATTATTATTATTATTATTTGTGTAGTTGTAGAATAACAGTAAAATAATAGCATCTTTCATCATCATTACCATATTATGTAATTTTTGGGTTTA